CAGATAGATCGAATTGGAAGCATCGATGCTAGATTTGGGAAGCAAGCACCTCGACCGTCGGAGCTAACAGCTTCAATAGATGCATTTTGCACGGTGCTCTACAACTCGGTTGCGGAACCACTCCCAGACGGGCGGTTCGATTTTTTCACAAACGACATGCGAATAAATCTATGTTTAGCTGTAAATGGAAATAAAACAAACAGTGTTCCTTGCATAATAAGTAGATGAGAACAATGAACAGGTATATAAATGAGTAAAAACATATAGTAAACACAAAAAAGAGTGGTCGTTAAAAAAGGGGATGAAACAATACAAAAATTGAAAAACAAGTACACAAAAGATAATCAATAAACGCAAAAGGTAAAATAGAGTAGCAAAGACAAACCTTTTTAAAGATCACACATAAATATGTATATATATATAAGTAGATAGAAACAACATGTTCGTTGAAACTTCACAATGTGCCTCAAAATCAGGTTCGTTCGGCAGGGCCCTGCAAAGCGGCGACCAAGCCCTACTGACACTGGCTCTGGAAGCGATGGTTGGGGTGCGGGTGGTGTTGTGTTTGCAAGTGAGTTTGAAGGCAACGACGAGGATGAGCTCGTGCAGTTTTTGCAGGCCAATGGGTCTTTCATCCTGACCATGACAAAGACGGCAGGCCTCACCGATCCTACGATGTTCTCCTTCAGCATATGTTTAAACGTACGTTGTACGTTCTGTATGCTAAACAGGTTCTTTGCAGTAACCGTTTTCCTTGCCTCTCTCTCGATGGGAAGTGTAAGGATGTCTCTGGCTTAGTCCGGAAATACTTGCCACCAGGGACTTACTTTGAGACGTATCAATTTTACTGCGGCTGGTGTGCAGCGCACATTGCCTCGCAACTTGGACAAATTTTGCTTGTCATTTTAGTTTGACATATATATGTGTTTGTTTGTCGTTGAACAACTCTCATAGCAAACTCTTTGTTGGATCTCTGACAGGTATGGCGCTTGGATGAGGGTGTGGAACTCCAAGTGGACATTAGTCATGAAATACAGGAACAAAAGCGCATTTTCACAGTGCGATGTTTGCCAGGAATTGAAACACCAGTTTCTTGATAGATGACCTTTGAAAGTTTTACGTGTTACTTTTTCCCAAAGCTGGTGCAAGACACAAAGGTATGGAGGTGTGTATGTGATTAGGCATGCATTTCTTTGAGAAGATATCAAGCCAGGTTCACGAACAGGGAACTGAGCTTTGAGACCCGCTTGAACGGACTCAAACTATACCGCAAACACCTCTTGGACCAATTTGCTGACCGCTGTGCGTTCTACAGCCTGAGAGATATCTCAGCTGATGCTATGTCACGCACCATCACCTGCTGCGCAGACGGTGCGGACCAATGCTTTTTGCATAAAACATGTACATTTTTCTTCTGTGTAATACAAGTTGCTATGTTGTCTCTCTCCTGTCCTCAGTTTCCAAAGAAACAGATTCTGAACAGAGGCGAAGTACATGGTGCCACGTGATCCAATGCTGGTGACAGCTTATCGGAGCGCAAAGCAGCAAAGACCAGCTCTAAAGGTCCACGGAATTTGGACGTATGGCGTAAGTCCGAGGGTCAGCATCCTGGAGGAAAACCAACGATCCGGTTCTGCTATGATCTGTGAACTTATTGCGTTGGCGGTGGAAGATGCGTTTAAATACTCCAAGATCAAACCAGAGTGTTTGGTCATCATTGGAGACAACACGGTGAAAGGGCTAAAGAACACCTTTTGCCTTTCAAGACGAACTATGTGAACCATCACCGTTTCAAGCCACTTGTTCCTGTTGTATACGTATGTGTTTGATTGTTGTGTTTTTTTCAGTAATGGGTCAAAATTATACAGTGCCTCATCCATTTTCAGGATGTGTCAAAGTCAGGTTTACATGCGCTTGCATGTTTCGTGTGTCCCACACACACGATATGATCGGAGACTGAGCTGACAATATTGGACTGTGTTTCATTCCTATGTTTCTTTCTTCGACCTTATTTGTTGCTTTGAACTTTGTGTCATTCGACACCAACTTTGTTGCTTTTGCCAGTTTGGAGTTCCAACCATCCAAGACCAATTGTGGGGGCCGTTATCACGAAGATTGGGACGGTCTTCACAGATAGTTGATGCAGATTCAGCTTGCGACATCATCCGAGATGAACTTAGCAAAAGCTCCTTGCAGAAATGGATCAACGGCAAGGTCATTGTTCATGTGCTTCGCAAGTACAGAGACTGGAAGACGCACTGTCAAGCACACGCTCCCATTAGCTTTGAATCTTGCGCAACTATCATCCAATACTTTTCCAATTCTTTGGGGCACTTGCTATCCTTCGGTATTTTGTTCTACCTTAACTTCCTGGTATGTCCCAGGAAGGTGGCTTATTGATCGACCGGGAAGCAAATCATTTCTTTATGTTTCGCAAGCGGAAAGGCAGGGCAAAAGAGGTTACGTGAGCTTTTGCAATCAGAATTCAGTTTCAGAACTATAAATCAAAGTGTTTAGCAGTTTTATACTGAAAAGATATCAGAACCAAACCTGGGCAAAAACCAATGGCCCTGCCCTTCAGATATACCAGCTGGTATGGAAATCAACGAGGGACGAAAAAACCGGAGAGCCAGGAATGACAATGACGTTGTGGTATTGGTGAAGGAGTACATTTGCAGCAGTGAGCTTCGACAACAGCCGATGCTGGTGACCTGTGCAGAGGATGTGGACAAGTATCCTTTGGTGACCAACAGCTTCTCTCTCAGATTCGTAATCACTTTGACACATTGTTTTGACTTCCAAGATGGAAAACGGTTTGTCATTCTTGAATTCTTATGGCTATGTCATGTATTGGTGTAAGAAGAAGCTCATTGCTGGAGCCAGCCAAGGTGTAATGCCTTTCAGACCTGTGAACGAAGCTGCAGTGAAAGACTGGCAGAGTTTGGGTGCTATTTTTGAACGGATCCTAGGGGGTTCTGAAACTTCTCAGAGAGCAGCAGCAGCATACTTGCGCAACCGGTCCAACAACACCTTGCCTGATGATGAAGGTTTGCTGCCGCTAACATGGCATGAAGCAGATTTCCAAGCAGATGTGGTTCTGCAACAGCAGGAGCTCCCGCATCCATGTGTTTTAGCTGTTTTGGCACCATCAGCCAATTTACGTGCTGTGTGGCGTCGTGGTAGGTGAGACACGCAGGTAGTCTGAAGAAAAGAGTGTTGGTTCTCTTTTGAGTGCACCTCAAATGATTCAGAAGCTCACAAGTTCAAGTTTTCTACATCTACCTTGAGAGCTCCCATATCTGGTTTGCTGAGGCTGACTAGAGATGGAGTGAGGGCTGCTGACATGTGCCCCGCTAGCTTCGAAAGGCTGCACGTGCGTCAACTTTGATGGCGCCCACATCGACTTTGATAACGCTTAGCGACCAAAATCTCTCTGTGGGTCTGGGGCAGAACCCCATCGATCTATAGGGACGTAACCCTACCTGCGTCGAAAATCAAATTTTGCTAAAGTATTGATTTCACTGGGGGGGGCTACGTCCTATAGAGTCCTTGTGGTTCTGCACCAGAACCACATCGACTTTGATAACACTTAGCGACCAAAATTTCAATGGGGGTCCCATAGGACGTCAGAAGTTTCATTCAGAAAGTCTCTGTGGGTCTGGGGCAGAACAACGACGAAATTCTTGGTACAAACCCACCACCCACGGAGACTTTCCTTCACTCTACCCCCCACCCGCGCCGATTTTTGGTCATTACGCAAATGTCCATTACACCGTTTTGCTCCTTTAGCAATCTTTGTGGGGGCTATGGACTGTCCAACTTTGAGGGGGGCAGCCACTGCCATTGTGGTCAAGAAGGATGACAAAGGCAGTGAAGAGAAACCAGATTCTGCGACTCAACTGTGCTTCAATTCGTAGTTGCTGATTTTCAACTAAAGGTTGACAAAGATTCATTGTGTCATTATGTTCATGTTCTTTTTGAGAAGACAAGGCGAAGAAAGACTTGGACCCAGTGATCAAAAAGCAGAAAACAGAGTGGAGCGCTGCACTGCGGAAACTCCCGGGCGACACTTCATTTTGCAAGGACAGCCGTGGCAAAAGTCAAACAGCAAAACGCCATGTTTGTTGCTTATTTCCTGAAAGGAAGTGCTAGAGTACCTGTCAAATTTTGTGGAGGGTCCAGATGGTGCTGAACTTCCTCATCCATGCCAGATGGTGGTAGATGTTTTCCAGGATGAGTCCACTGCTTCGTTGACTTTGGACAAGCTCTACACCTTCCTTGAGGAATCCAACAAAGCACAGGGGAAGCGCTTTGCTGCTTCACCCAACCCTGTGACTTGCTTCATTCCCTTGGTAACATTTTGAAGGCCACCGCAAACAGGATATAGATATATCATATATATACACAATGTTACATTTATTCAATTTGAACTCTTGACGTTTCTGTTTTGGAAATTTGTTGCTGTTTTCAACAAAGGACTTGAGCACACTGACACCTGGTCAGTATTTGACTTGCTCGGTGCACATCAAGGACATCAAGATTTGCCTTCCACCAGACGGTCTACCGTGCGTGAATGACTGGATTACCACCGTCCTTTCTTTCCTGTTCTCAGGAAGCCGGCTGCGTCGGGAACCTATTGATTTGTATGTGCTGAAGCCAGAGGCTGCTGACGGACAGCCACGGCTTGGTATCAAGAAGGGCTTTACGAGGTTGACGCTAGTCTTACATTGTGTATGTTCGTTTTTGTTTTGTCGTTCAATCATCAAAAAAGAGAAACGTTGACCCAGAGTGGACTCAGGAGCTCAGCCCTGTTTTTGGCACAAGTCGTGTCAGACCTTGATCCTGTGGCTGCAAAGGACAGGGACGATAAAACCAAAACCAATGTGAAGAAGGGTCATGGTCATATTGTTCTGTTCCTGAAGGACTTGATCCAACCATTCATGGGAGCCATCTTTGAGATCTTTGGCATTCCATCTTCAATATCATCCTTCCAAGATGCTGAAACCATCTCCTTTGATGCCATGCAATTGAGCACACAAGGCGCAGAGAGACAGCGAAAGGGCGTGCCTTCACCTGTGGTGTCAACCTGTTTTCTTGTTTTTTTGCTAAATGTTTGCTTTGCTGATGTATTGAGATCTTAATTGGGCAACACTAAGATAACGAGTAACAAGGTGATGAAGATGGCCATGCGCTTTGAAGCTCTTCTTCATGAGAAGAAAGCTGCTGGCGGTATGAGCGACAAATCAGACCGGGATATCATCCAGGAAGTGATTGGACGTTACAATGACCACCGTGCGAACGCTGCCATAAAAAGGTGGCAATTGAATGGTGATACAACTATGGGCGTCATGTGCGTCGTATGTGGCATGACACCTGAATCCAGAGAGATTGTACGAAGCCACTTGAACCACAACAAGTGGGAAGAATCCGGTGTCTCGAACCTGTTTCATGTTGTGTCTATGTTTTGACCACCAGGTTAAAACCTTTGTGTTTTGAATGTTCATTGACTCAGTTCTTTTAGCAGGATTGAGCTTCCAGGTTACAATGAATCCCTGCTGAGATCAAAGCGACACCAATTGGGAGAAACATCAAGACAGGCTACTTCTGTGTTTTGGCAGAATATGCTGACAGCATCCCGGCATTTATTTTGGCATTTTTAGAATTTGTCCTACAACTCACAAGTTTCCTAAACACTTGCCAAAAAAGACACAATATGTGCCCAGCAAGGTGAATCCTAGTATCCAAGCACTACATTTTCGCAAATACAATCACTGGTGGCACACAAACTGTCGCAAGATGAAGAAGTCGATGCGCAGCCGGCTCCGGTGGACGGAGGAAACATGGGGCAAGAACATTGAGCATTGCGCTGTGTTTGCATGGGTGGTGGATGAAGCAGTGAAGGATTCCCGTGTTTCTTGGTCATGAGTTGGAGGCAGAAAAAAGAACTATCTGTAACTCAAATAATTCAGATCATCAGTTCTAGAACAGCTTTCCAAGAATTCATACCCTTGCAGGTTGAACCAGCGATGATCAGCAAGATGAGGAACGCCTTCATGAATGGGTTTCTCAAACGACATCCTGTCATTTTTTGTGTTTGTGTTTTTCTGTGTTCGTGTTTGTGTAAAAAGACAAACGGCTCCTGCTCTGAGGGATTCCACCCAAGACCTCGATGCTTTTTTGATGTCCAAACCACAGGATCCAACGATCGAGATGGTGGGGATGTGGCAGGACCATATAGGGCGGACCTTAGCAAAGCAACCCGCCACTTTGGGATCAGCTGGAGAGACCACAGTTGAAGTTGAAGAAGCGGAAGACACTCGGGAGAATATTTTTCGCTCAATATTTTCTCATTGTCGGTAGTGGCGGATGTTGCTGTGAAAGATATTTTGGATAGAGGTAACGCTTATAGAACAAATCAGGAGCACTTGCGTGATGCTGAGTACAAGATGACGGTCGCCAACCTGAGCCACGACTTCCGTGAAGCTGTGGATTTCAACCTTCGCAGAAACAAAGTTGAATCCAATCGCCATGTGGCGGAGGCACATATGTGTCAAAAGTAATGTTCAATGTTTTGTTGAAATTATGCTTACCATTATACTTGCAGGTGTTACACTTGAGAGACCAGCTCACGCATGGCCTTGCACTTGCTGAGAAGTTGATGGAGCGCCGAGCCCTGGTTCTATGCACCGACAAATGCCAGCGTGACTCGCTTACTGCCGTCCTTCGGAGAATGCATCAAGATTGTGGCTTCGATGGAGTTGAGCCGGACAGGTGCCACCATGTTGGCTACTGCGACCTTTCAGGCTGAGTGTGCCTCAGGTGGACGAGGTATCCAACTGGGCACTTCGAACGCTGCAGCTCAACCCGGATTGCAGTCCCTTGGTCCTGATTTTTCTTGTATGTGGTGAAAGACGTTGCTTAAATGGGAAGAATTTTCGATGTTCGATTTTCAAATGGCAATTGTTTCAGGCATGGTCTTGATCATATGTCCCATGCTGGCGGGCGAGGGTGTGCTGAATGGACTACGAGGAGCATTCAGGCACAAGTTCGAACAAATGAGAGACAGACACAGACATTGCAAACTTAAAGTTTCTCGTTCCCTGAACAGGAGGATTGAGGACAAGCTGGACAGCTTGAACTTAGAGATGAAGCAAGTCTCAGTTCTCTTCGACGTGTCTTCCACTCACGGGAATCGGAACTTTGGTAAGATCAGCGCATGTTTTTTGGGTTTTGGTGTGGGTTGATTTGTGTCTATGTTGATGGGTCTCTACGAGACATTGCCTTCAGGACGTTCCCGGCATCGCTTCCGGCATGGATGGTGGTGCAGGATTCCACATTGGGATCGAAACTGGCTTTGTACAAGGCGCCGCGCAACTCAGAGCGCCCAACCCAGGATTCCAACGTCTTTGCTCGCAACGACTTTTGGTCGGTGCATGCTTGCAAGCCGAGTCCACCTCTCCCTGTGGCAGAATATACCACCCCGGAGTCCTCTACGCTTTTCTCCAATGAGACAAGTCGCAGCCTGACTGATTCTTGGATGCTACCATCAATTGCTTTTTAATGTGTATATAACTCTGTTTTTTTAATGCTCTTGCAGCAACCTGAGACCAAAGCTCCATTAAGGACAAGGAAGAGACAGCACAGTGGGTGGCAAATCCAAGCACGATTCGTGCCATCCTTGAAGGGTGCTTGTCTCGTGTCAGCACCATGAAGGGCCAGGTCTGCTGCTTGCGCCACTTCAGTCCATACGACGGGGTGTTCCAACGAGCTCCATGGTTACAATGCCTTGCGATGTGTTCGTTTCTAATGATGTCAAGTGCTCTGTGGCTTTTCGTTGTGTCTATTTGTTGATATTATTGATATTATACATTTCTCCGTGATGAGTAGCATCAAGGTTGCATTGGGCCTGATGTCGGAACTACAGCAAGATGTCTACCTGGGCTTATTTTCAGAGACAACCAGTCCAACCTTGTGCTCCTATGTTGTGGGCCAAATGAAGGACAAGCTCCTGGAGGAATGGAAGGCTGGTCAAGGACTCCTGGGTCAATCAAGCCAGAAGTTTCAGGCATCCCCGGACTTGAGTATGCAGACCAAGCCAAGGGAGCCAGTGCTGAAGCTTTGCACCATGACCGATGGACATCTTACCATGCCCAAAGATGTGCGGGAAAAGTGGCTGAGCTGCCCCGTGCGCAGCAACTCAGACTGATATTTGTTTCATTCTTTTGATATCTGTGTTGTTTCTGCTGTGCCCAGTGGTGGTTCATTGGTTCATTGAATCTAAGACCCTGATTGGCGACAGCGCTTGAAGAACTTCGACAACGTGTTTGCACCCGTGACCAATGGAGAAGCTGGAGCACCAGCACCAATGGTGACCTCGAAGACCAGTGCAGACTTGGACAACCAGATCCCTCTGGTATCCGAGACTTTCTGCGAACCTCCTCCGTCCCTAACTTCAGAGGAGTTTCAATCAAAGCGCCCGACATTGGTGGCCACAGTGACATTGAGCATGGGAATCAATGTCACTTGCAGCGTAGCAGATGACAAGGTCTACATCACGTCGGCTTCCAAGGTCACGCTTCCCGGGCTTAAGTCGCAAAGCCCCCGCCCGATCTTTCTATATGCAGGAGGTTCATGGATCTCGGAGAGCGGGAAGGACAGATTCATTGGTTGCAGTTGTATTTTTTGTAGTTGTGTTTGATCATTCTGTGTTACATCATCCATAACAATCTGGCCGGTCATGTCACATGTGATGCAGGCAAAGGATTTCCTGACGAAGGATGGCAATGAGAACAAAGCCATCGAATTCCGCTTGGATTCACAAGATGACATTGCACTTTGTCAGAACTGAACATTGTTTGGCAAAGCAATATGACAATATGTGTCATTTGCGTTTTACTGTACTTGTTTGTTCTAAAATATGCTATGGTCCTGGGCTTCAGGAATCCGCTGCGTGTCAAGGTTCATGTCATGAGGTCGTTTGGGAGGAAACCACACCCAAAGGACCAACCAGCTCAAAGCCAATGACCCTGTACGAATTGATCTATACGATTGAAAAACGAGGGTGCCTCGATTACACCATCACCGGGCACACAGCTCAGCGCCCGCCATCTGTGCAGAGAGGGGAAGAGGGTGACAGGCAGGAACCAGCGATGAAAATGGTGTTGAAAGTGTTGATTGAAGTTGATGTTGGCTGCTGGCTGGTCATTGAAATCAACGGCAGGATCGAGGTGAGCCATCAGTCCTTTGCCGTCTACCGGCCTAACCCGGTGACTCAGAAAAACGCGAAAGGCCAAACATCGCCTCCCTCATCGGCTACAAGGCACTGGCATCGTCTCCAATTTTGCAGCTTGTTTGGAGTGACTTGGATTCGCTTGGCATCCAAGGTTATGCTTGTGGTTGATGTTTGTTAGGGTCCAAAAATGCCTGGTTTCAGTTTGTGCTTGGTTGATTGGCCAAGGGGTCAGGCATTACCAGAAGGAGAAGATGATTGGCCCAGCCAAACCATTGTGGTTTGTGAAACGAGGTTTCACCATGGAGCCGAACCTTTACTACAAGGTAGTGGGCTGATCTGTTGCCAGCGAAGGCTTTCCAGAAAAAGAAACGATGTTATAGAAATTTATGAAGGTTTTTGTCATCGAGAGAACCATGCAAGCATTGTATGTTTGGTATGAACTTGAAGCGACACTTTGCATTGTTACTGTTAGGGCTCAGCACCAAGTCATCCTTTCAGCTAGGGTTTTACACCAGAAGCATCCACATGGCTGGCATCGACGTGGATGCGGGCATTGAGATTGACTCCCGGTTGGTTGGCGAGCATTTGGAGGGTGCGAGCAACAATGTTCCTCCACGATGCAAGATGCCTATGGTTCCTGTGCCTGGTCCAAATGCGAATGTGGGTGCTCGACAGCCGGTTCTTCCAGCGCCAACGGAGGGACTTCAACGGAAGAATGCTTTTGAGTTTCGCCCAGGCTCTCACTTCAACAAGTTCATGAATTTGGCAAAGCCCGTTGAAGAGTCTGTGGCACCTAGACTTTGCTTTTTTTGGGGGGGTTCCCTTGTGTATTTCTGTTTTTGCTTGGTCCAAACTGTGTGCTTCAAATTTAGGGCCAAAGTATAAGACAAGAGTTGGAGGTCGCCGGCATTGCCCGTCCACTTGCACGCCGTGAAGCAGAACGTGAGAAAGATCGTGCTTGTGCTGCTGATGATGCTGAGACCCAGCCATGGGAGGTAGGATGTTACAAGTTCAAAGTGTTTTTGAAACAGAAGTTTGACAGACATTTTTTGACCTATGAACAATGAATGACCATGAACGATGGTATATAACCGTTTCTTGCAGGGGGAGCGCACGGATCTCAACCAAATGCGTGCAGTCTTCGAGGAGAAGCGCACATGTTGGGGCTTGCTGGGGGAAGAGAGCCAGTTAGCTGATGATGGGTATGAGACATGGAAGCAGCTCTCATGGCATACCTTTGTTTTATATTTGGTCACATGAAACCCCAGTGATAGTTAGAATGTCACAGCAGCTGAGGATAATCTCCAGGCGGCAGTTGTGATGGAAACTCCTGCTCGATGCCCTGGCAAAGTGATGAAGGCTGCTCATCGGTTCACTTGTTTGTTCAACAACCCTCCAAACAAGTCAGTTAGGATATTGGAGAAGTTCAGGGAATGGATGTGCATTCTCTTTCAGGATGGATCCACATCATCTGGTCGTGAACGAAGGGCCCACCAGCTGGGTCCTGTACACATCGACCCTACAGAATTGGACTTTGACATGGTGGGCAAGGACTCAGGATTCAACTTCTCAGGCGCAGCCAGTGTCAAGTGGTGCGGACAATGCAATGCCTTCTGAACCTGCTTCAGATGCCCCTGCTGTAGATGGTCTCAAAGGATCCCGTATCACGAGCGATATGAGCGCTGAAGACAAAGACAAGATCATGGAAGCCCGGCGAGAGCGCAAGCGGAAACACTCCAGGGAATGGCGTTCAAAGTATGCTTCCAAGGGAGTGCCCAGCCTTAAGTGTTGTTTTTGGCTTCACTATCCAACCCACAAAATATATGTGTTGAATGTCCTGGGTTGGAAAGCTGTTGAATCACATGCCCTACATTTTTGTACATGTTTGTACAGCGAAGGTGTTGCGAACCTCTGGACTTGATGCTGATTTTGCCCAAACAGAAGATGTTCGTCCTTCCAATGCTGCTAATGCGGTTGTGCCGGGAAATGGGTCTGGTTCCAGCGGTTCCAAGGACAGAATGTGTACTCTGTTTGTTTTGTGTACTCTGCTTACTTGTGCGCAGCCTATGCCAAATGGACAGGTTGATGGATATGATATGATGGATACATGTTCCTTTAGATAGGGACAAACTGATAGGGAGTTTTAATTCTACACATGCATCAACAAATGTGTGTATGCCCTGTTCTTTTGTTTGGGCACCATGACATTGAAGGAAAAGCCAGCCAGTTCATCTGCGATGCGCGCAGCTCGTTGGACATTTGTTACTCGGATTCGCATATTTTCACAACTTGTTTCACTTTGTAGTACTGTTTTCCCCAGTTTATCAACTTTGCAAGCAAGATGATGGCGGTGTCAAACAGTCTAACTGTTAACTGCCCTGTCAGGTGCGACAGTACTTCATTGACCACCCGGGCAGCAACATGAAGGAAGCATCTGCAGCATGGATGGCCAGTGAAGCCCGTGCTTCCATCTTGGCTGGCCGTAGTGGTATCCAGATTTAGGATGACATTTGTAGCCGCGGCATTTTCTTTGGGGCACCCACACATGGTGAACATGTGTGTCTGAACGCGTTTTGATAGAAACGCCTTCGATGTCAAATCAAGTATCTGGGAATTCTGGATGGGAAAAGACTTGCGAGCTATGCATTGTGGGAGCTATTCACATGTGCATGCGCGGCAATCGCAAATTTGTTAAAACGTGATTTGTTTTTTGGGAAAGAATCCACGTGGATGTTTGCTGCAGTTTCTTGGCACAACATTTTTGTTTGCGTGCTCCTGATGGCTTGTGAAAGCACGAATGGGACCTCGACCTTCCCGATCATGGGAACTTCAGCAAAGCAATACCTTTTTGGGCGAGTTGTTTTGGTGTACTTTTGTTATATACATCATTTTAGCTTTGTCACACCAATGAACCCACAGGATGTTCATGGTCTTCTGGGACACCTTCGGCATCTTATGAATTCACGATCGAAAACAAAGACGGCGCCAACACCTGCGAATGCTACGCTGATGTGGATGTAGATGAGAGACCCCTGAGATATTTGATCTTCTGAAGTGGGTCAAAGAAACGTTTGTGGATTTTAGTACTGACAGCAGAGTGATCCACCGTGAGGAATTGCTTTTCCTAGTTCGTCAGGAAAAACTGGACGTTTATCCTTGGAGCTGCCAGCTGAAGGTTTTTAATGTGCGAGCACAAACCGACCAGTTGATCACCTTTCGTTTGAAACAAACGGATGGTTGACCATTCTTTAAAGCAGACAAACCGTGACACGGCGGGAAAAACAACACAGGTGCTGAACATGTGTTTAGGACCCACCACAATTCATTTTTCATCTACTCCAGTGATATTTAAGGGAACGCACGCACCTCACACATAAATACATGTAAGCCCTGCAAAACCCTCTATGTGTTTTTTTGGTGGTTTGGGTCCGCCCTCCTTCCTTCTTCTCACTGCAAAAAGGTACAGAGCAAACTAGTGGTTACAAGGCTCAAGCAACTTCGAGTGATCCCACTTGCTGGAGTCAAAGAGAAGCAGAAAAATGCCCTCCAGCACAGCCAAAGCATGGTGCAAACTGCTGGAAGCAGCACTTTGCAGCTTCTGGTAAGAGTTTTCAAAAGTAGCCAATCACACGCTCAGCCCCAGCATGGGACAAACTGCTGGAAGCAGCACCAGCTCAAAGCTCAGAATTTCTGGTGCTATCACCAGTTGTCAAGCCTTGAAACCCTCTATGCTTGACAGCTGATCATTCTAATTTGACAGCTGGTTACAATGACTTTAACTTATTTGTAGATATTCTTCACACCGAGATATCTCACCACACTCCCTGGCACCCACCAATACAGTGAAGGGCCATGGGAAGCGCAGATGCGATGCGCAAGTTTCGTGCGTAGCGATGCCAGGAGCCTCTAGTAGCGTCCTTGCTCCTATAGTAGCGATGCCAGGAGCCCCTAGTAGCGACCTTGCTCCTAGTAGC